TATTGGGGCAAGGGGATGTGGTTAGTGTTGTGGGGTTATTTTTGTTTGCTAGTGGTGGTTTGGTGTGGGGTTTATTTTGTTTGTTTTCTTTTAGTTGGTTTGTTGGTGAGGTGGTTTGGGGTTTTTTTGGTTGGGTTGGGTTGTTGTTTTGGGTTTTAATTACACTTAGTGTATTTTTATCAGAACAGTATGTTTCTGTTTGTGATACATCTATAACTGAAAAAAAAAAACCACCAAACATCAACAACTCATGCTAACATGAGAAGAGCCAGGTTTTCCTCCATTAAGACTTCTTGATTCTTCACCAGGGCTTTCTGACATTTGATACCATGGGCAGAAGCATCTGTCCGCCCCCTCGCTACACACCTATGGCATATGACATCAAATACACAGTTTGTAAAGAAATGCTGTTTTCGCCATGGTAAACAGACAAAGAGTTCCTCCAGATGAGCTTATCTTTCTTCCCCTGAGAGCAGAAACCTAGCAAAGCTAGCCAACAAAATTAGATACTTGGGTTGTATAAACAGTTCCTTAGATTCAATTTCCTTTAGCTCATGCTCAGGAAAAGCCAGCTCGGAGGCGATGTGTGTAAGCAGATACCAATTAGTCTTTTCTAAGATTGTTTAAAGACTGCATATCCTACACTTCTCTACTTTTTAGTATGCAAAAATCAGTTTGCATTCACTTTTGAGTAAATGACTTTATCACACCATAGAGCAAAGTGACAGCCAGCCTCCTCTTTCTCCTCTCTTTATTCTACACACGTGTAACAAAACATCAAGCCTTATGAATCCCCAAAAGACTGACGCTTCCAACTTAAACTAAAGAGAAAAATAATTTCAGTGAGACTGGACTTCAAGATGTTTTCGTAATGTGGGAACAGAAAACCTATTCAAGTAGTCTGCTTTACCAATCAAAACAAATAGCTGTTATTGTGATTTTGAACATGTACACTGACCTCATCAGCTAAATCACATCTTTGTGAATATTGCTTAATGTGAAATAGCAAGTATTTGCCTCATCTTATTATTAATCTAAATAATTTAATTAATTATAATTAATTAGCTAACAAAAAGCAGTTCATCCTGATATATCACTATGATAAAAAGCAGCAACTGAAAGTATCTATGTTTGTCACTTTTACAGCATACAGCTCAGAAAAAAAAAAGTCACTTGTCCTGAATTTGCAGGATGTACATCCATTGACTGCAGAGTCACTGCCGTTTGCACAATAGCGAATAGCCAGTGTTGTAACAGGGTAACTTTCTGAAAAATCATTATTCAAAATAGTTTATACGATAAAAATAGGACCATTTGTAGCAATGAACAAGATATTTTACTTCCCTATCACTGATCTACACAGACCAAAACCCAAAGTTTATAGTAATTTCTGCATTCAGATCTAAAATGTTTTGCAAGCAGTAGAGCAGTTTCACTTACTTCAGAATGCTCAATTAAAATACTCTTCCCAATACCATTTCTCCCCTCCTCAAAACTGACAGGATCAGCTTTTGGTTTGCATCAAGTGAATCCCTTCAGCCTCTGCTCCACTGTGGCAATGTATCTGCAGCTCTATTACTTTTGCAGATCCTGTATCAGAAGTAGTATATGAAATATGCTTCATCGGTCTCCTTCCCAAAGATCAAATTTCAGTTGCATAATAAACAGTGACTGCATGACATAATGGGGCCTTCACGCATGATATGGTCACACTGGAACTGAAAAACAGTAAGATACGTCATTATCTGTCCTTGTATGGATGCAGAGGACATTTGTCTCAGAAAATAAGGAAACTACAAATAATCCAAAATTCAATGGGGAAAAAAAAAAAGTTTCCAAAAGGCTTAAAAGTCAAAACAGAATCTTTTTAACCCTTAAGATGATTTCTATTTCACACATGGCTTTTTTACACTAACAGCTCCTGTCCTGGGCAGAAAGTCTGGCTACATGAGGGGATCACAACAGTCCATTTCAGATGGGATATAAATGAAATATTAACAACATCAAAACCCAGTTTTAGGCATCATTTAAAGGGTTTTGAAGCAGAAACACCCCCCCCCCCCCCCCCCCCGCATTCAGCCTGGCACATTTTATGAAAAGGTCCCCAGCTCAAAAGATCAATGGCTATTTTAGCTCCTCTATTTATATCTCTAACCAGAAAATGTTTATATATGTACTGCTCCAAAACATGTAAGAATTTGTTGCTTATACTACCTTCAAGTTTTTAGGTACTCAGAAACTCCTTAACAAGCAACTACACCAATGCATCCCATGCATCTTTATGAACTGACAATTTTTATACACACAAACTACATAGAACAGGCTAACTTCAAGATCACCTGTTTGCTTAAAATTCTACATACTCTTTGGTCTAGCATCACTTCAATCCATTGCTCACTTTATTCCTAAAAATAATGAGTAAAAATTATGTTGTTTTTCATTCCTACTAGTTCTATGTGAAAGAAAAAAAAAAAAAAACAAACACAAATGTATGCAGCCCAACATTAATCTTTTCTTCATTTCTAATAGCTGTCTAGCTAGCTTCACTTCAGCCATTTAGCAATCCTGTTATGAAACACTTGCTATTAGTGAAAAAAGTCCAAACTGGCAGCACTCACAGACCACTGGGAATATCAGGCATTTTAAGGAGATGTTTCTACAACTCAGTTTGTTCACTTAACTTTTTTTTTCTCCTTAAAGTCCCTACCTTAAAGCCTCCAATCAGGATTATGCTTCTAAAGCTTCTGTATCAGAAAGTCTCTTTTTTCTCTGGATTTTCCCATGGAGAACTTCCTGTTCCTCTACACCAATCCACCCTTCTTGAAATATTTGTTTCCAGTCTTTTATTGCTGCTGAATCTGACTCAAAAGGGGCCCATCTACTCCAGCTACATCATCAGGAGAGCTCTGCACTTTCACACAGCTGCTGAGGTTTCTGTCCCCATGTCTAAGCTGTAATTGCTCCACCCACTTCCCCACTTTGCACAGAAAAGATGGAAAGAAACTGATGGATCAAAAAAACCCCACCCTTTTCAATGATCATTTCTGGATGGACTACCAGTATAATGTAAACTTTCCTCTTTTCATGTTTTGCAGGGTCTTAATTTGTTTCCTTAATAAAATGCATCACAAAACTTGGGAGAGCAATTTACTAATGGAAAGAAAAAAACTCCTATCAAATACAATAATCTTACTATAAATTCCACAAAGCAGTTCAAAAAGCCTGGAAGGCTGATTGTTTCTATTAAATTCCATCAATTGCTGGAGAAGTTTCTCCAGGACTTGTAATATTTCCTTAGAATTTAAAGTGACTTAACCTCCATTAAGTTCTGTAAAGACTGAAACGCAACTACCTGTAAGCATACTTTAGCAGAACACAACATAAGCCAAATGGAAAATTACATTTAACAGTATGCAGCCCATTGTTAACCTGCAGCATGATCTAAAAATGTATTCTCTGACAACCTAGATGTACCAGCTTGCCCTGAAAGCAAGTAGACCATATATTTCAAAATCTCTATGACCACCTGACTCCGGATATTCATTCAAGGATATTTTCAGAAACTTGCAAAGCAGAGATGAAAATACAGTTTTGTCAGAGTCTTGTCCAGGTGAAGTTTAAAAATAAACTTAGTTTTGAGCTATACAAACCCTTGCAGCACATTTTCTTTGGTTATGAGTATTTCTTTTTTATAAATGAGCTCAAGTAAAATACGAGTGAAATTTGAGCTGAGCAAAAGAATGCACATAGGTTCCAGGCTGTTTTATTTAAGATAAAATGCAACTATAAAATGAAGTTTAAATGGCACAACTTTTTACATCCATGTGAACCCTAGCCATGGGAATGGGAATCAACTGGACTTGCTAACAGTTCCTAAATTCAATTTCTTGGCAGAAGCTGGCAAGGAGTTTACAGTGGAAGTTACTGCACTATGAAATGTGATTTTTCTACCCATTCACAGCTGATTTGGGGGGCAACTTGTGCCTCATCTCTTCACACAGCATTAAGGAGAAGTCTTGTCTTCGCACACAGTACTCCTTTACAGTATCTGTGAAGGGCAAAGTGAAGAATTTATTTTTATTGCTAACAAATATGAAATTTTCACACAGTTACAGAAATGAATTAGAACTGAATAGCAGTCAGTAGTTTCCTTACCAGATATAATGCATGCATTTTAGCTTATATGACCTTGTCAAACCTCAGAAATTAATCATAGAAATCAAGAAACAGAAGCTTAGTATTAACATTTTAACAGAAAAGAAGCTTACGTGAGTATACCTCAGATTCATATTTCACCCTTTATTTGTATTAGTTTGTGTGAATTACTAAATTAGTGAAAAACTCCTGAAGTCTAGTTTGGGCAATTTGTTCAGCTGAGTATTGAATTAAATGTTGATATACTGTAGTGGCATTGATGTGAAAAAGTGTTCCATAATCTCAGAAATTAAACAACAATAATAAGCCTTCATCAAATTCAGAATGTAAAAAATTTATTAGCTTTTACTCATTAAAAAATTTGGCTACTATTCTTGGGATTTTTTTTTTTTAAATAGCAGCAAACAGTTAAAAAACTGACAATTGAAAAGTATTCTGTAAAACATAAGGCAAGCAAACTGTAAATTTGTTCTTTAAAAATCAATGCTGTAGTACTACAGAAGCAAGTGTAGCAGACAATAAAAACCCCAAGAACGTAGTAAAACATGACAATCACTTACTTCTTTGCTACCCCATTATTTTAGCCAAGGAAGCATTGCTACATCAGTAGCAAGTAAACTTTTTTCAGAACTATTGAGATGTAACTAAAGGCACTCACTGTCTGTGTGTGGAGGCTGGAGGGGTGAAGTAAGCCATAATTTTATATTTATTGGTTGAAGTCTGTAAAACATCATAGAATACTGAAACCAAAATCTTACAAGACAACAAGCCTTGACTCTACTGTTTTTGATCCGTGATCCGCTGTAAGCAGAGTTTCATGTAGGAATTTTTATTGCGTATTTCTAACACTGCATCTCTGACGAGCTCAATGAACATTTGAGGCCAGAGCTTCTGCAATGACTCATTTTTCATATTGATGTCAGCTGCTTCTTTCACCAAGCTCTCGACATATGTCTGGCAAAATGTTTTTCTTTCCTTGATTTCCTGCATGGGAGAACCATTACACATAGTATAAGATGAAGGAAGAAAAGATTAAACAAGAGCTAACCCCCACAAAAAGTAAATTAATTACAAAACAGCAATTGGCAGTCAAAGAGGCCATTGCACATTTTTTCCTATTTTTAAGCTGCACAGCCCAGGGTTTAAGTTAAGCTCCTATGAGTGTGGCCATAGAATCTTAGTGCATTCTTAATACTCATATTTTATTCATTAATTTATCTGAAGTCCACTTTCATGTAATAATGTAAATACCTTTTAACAGCATTAGATTTTTGCTGCCTTCTGTCATATCAGTGAAAGTTTACAGAAATTGAGCACTGGGCTACTTCCCTTCCTTCTCTCCCTTCCCAGGTTTTCATTTTAGCACAACAGCTGGAAAGTATAGGTTTATCTGCCTGCCCTAACAAGAACTAGGCAAATGGCCACAGAAAAATATGGCAGTATGCATCCTCAACACAGGTTCCCTGATGGACTCTGGCAAGTGCATGGTTCCTAACACGTACCACATTAGATACTGAAGTAACCTGAACATTTAAAAAATAAAAAAAAAATAAAAAAATAAAAAAAAAATTTCACTTTGTGCAACTACTAGCTCTGCATTTTAGTCACTCAAACTGTATTAATCTCTGTTCCTGTAGAGTTCCTATAAAATGTCATAATGAGCTTTGAACAAGAAGTCATATTGGTGCTAAATATCTAACTAGTTTGATTTATTGCACTGTTACTAATGTTAGGTAATGATTCAGGCCATCAAAACAGAAGTTTTCTTAAATGAGTGACAAAGCAGAGAAATACTTCCCAGATGTTTCATATGAAACCCCAAATGATTAATCAATTATTCAAACTGTCATCTGTAGCAATAAATTTATTCTGTGACGTTTATTATGTTAGTTTACTGCTGACAGGGAAACTGAATTGGTCTTTTTTGCTTATCATACCCTCCTCTTGTGACATCCTGCAAAACCTGCTGCCACATGTACAATGCTGTAACAAGGACAAGGTGTGAACTGCTGCCCTGGGCAGAGACAACAAGGCACATATTTAACCGACTGGACAAATAAGTTTATTTTATTGCAGTGCTTGTTCCATAGTAAAGGACAAGAGGAACACTTCCCTGTCTTACTCTATGTCAAAGTTGTAGGAGCTACTATCACAGCTTTTCAAACTAAAATATTGTCTTAATTTAATCTCTCCATGCATGCAGTCAGTGTCTTTTTTTTATACTATGGATCTCAGATGCAGTAACTTAATTCAGCATTTACTGGATTTTATTTCTTGCACTAGAGGATTTACATATTTCCACACCATCAAAACAAAAATAATGGGATAAATGTGGGAAGCAGGGTACATACAGCTAGGACTCGTGATGATTACTCAGAAAAGAGACTGTAGCTGAAAGAAGCGTGCCCTTCCTGGGAGAAATTTCCCTCTGCTGAAGCAAAAACATTAGCAGATAAATGCAAACTAAAACAAGTGTGACTGATGCCCTTGTCTGAAGAAAGCCAGCTTGTGATTTTTTTTTAGTAATTAAACCTAATACATTTCCCATATATTTGTTTCCCCGTCGCTCATTTAAATGTGAGGAAACGGCTATTTATTACTACAGCCTGCACTATTTCAAGTCTTGTCTGAAAGCGTTTTCTTCTGTTTGCTTTGGGATACACTTCTGTATTGCATTAGGAAATCCTACCACGTGCATTATACATTTTCCTTTGTAAAAACATATGCACTTCTTATATTTTACTAAGGCGGGTACACTTGATTACGAATAAGACTTGTAGGTGGGAATGTATTTCTGAGACTGTGGCACTGTTCAGGAACCACTTTGCTGAAGAGAAACTGGCCGTTATCCAGTGTTCTGGCAAAGATCAGTTAGATGAAATGTTTGATTATACATGTAAATATGGTAAGCAGCAATATTTAAAAACCATCATTCTCAATAGCACAACTGAAACGTGATATATCAACAAAGTCCATGAGTAGCAGTCTTAGGCTATATAATAGAGGATGAAACTATTTTGTAATGGTATACTTACCTCAAGCTTTTCCATATGAAAGTCCTTTGTTGTGTAATTCAACATGGCTCGAGTTGTGCTTCCCCCTCCGTTTCTTCTGTGATCACTACTTTCCTCACCCCCAATCCCAGATTTCTTCACCTTTCCCTCCAGGAAATAATGGAATTGCTTCCTCCTGTGAAAAGATGATAAAGAGATTTACAGTTTCAATTGCTGAAAACTTTTTTCAAGTGTAGATGTTTCAAGTGATAGTGATTTTTTTTTTTTCTCTTCTCCCTTTGAACATGTACCTTATCAGCATTCAAGTTTATCGCATCTTTAAGTTATCCCAAATAACTATGAGTCTAAATATTCCTGTTAATTTGCTTCGATACAATTGACTTTTTGACATGTATCACAACACATCCTAATGTCTTGCAGCTTAAATCTTTACTAAGTATGTACAGAACTGAAAAGTTATTTAAAAATAGGTTTTCTAAGCACCTTTTTTCTTATAACACCAAATCTTACATCTGTTAACTATTTTAGTCACCCACTATAAAATATCCACTAAAAGTAGCCAGTCTTCATTGTGAAAGTCTGTAAATCTTCACCAATAACAGTACAATTAGAGAATTAAATAAGCAGTACAGTTGTGTGCTAGTGCCTTCTAATCTTACTCTGCAGATTTCATACAACTTCCGTGAAAAACTCTGGCTGCACGAATCAAGAAATACTAATACTTTTGCAATAAGCTGAGAACCTATCTCCTGCAAGATGCCATCTGTGATTTTTTTTTTTTTTTTTTTTTACACCTAGAAAGAATTTCTTCTGAAAACAAAAAATAATTACAAAACACATTTGGGACAAATTCCAGTTCCATCCACTGTATTTTACCTAGATTCTCCAAATAATGAAAGTATGCGATAATGTGGCAGCTCAGAAGATGCTACATATGCCAGAACCCCAAAGAGCCTTTCTGCCATTACAATATCATCTTCAGCAACCTGTGAGGGCAGGGGGAGAAAGGGGAAGGACAAAAAAAAAAAAAAAAAAAATCTGTTTCAAAATCGGCACTTTCACATTTCACTGCACAAGTGCATTGAGAATCAACTGAAATTTGTTATACAGAACTTTGCATTCAGATCTGTTCCAGGCATATCTTCAAAGTGTGTATTTGCTTTTACTGGCACTTTAAATGTACTTTAAAAGAAACCAAATGAGGTACTGGTGCTTATTTCCTGTAATTCTGGAAACTTTAATGTATATACATGCTATCCCATGCTTTGTGATAGCCTTCATGGAAATGGGGAATCTTGTAACTATTTCTTACATTGAGTATCTGAGGACCAGATGTAATTTTTTTCCATACTGCTTACAGAAGGTAGACTGGAAAATTTCTGATCAAGTTAGGCTGGAGAAATGAAAAGTTTCATATGAAACCCACATATGAAAAGCTAAGTTACAGTCTCTCTTATTTTGGCAGCATCATAATTAAGGCTTTATAGAAAGAGGGGAAAGAAAAAGTATTTTCCCTGCATTTTTCAATCCTCAAAATCAGTGTTCTTCCACTATACTTACCTAAATACCATCCATATTGTGTGAACATGAAGTTACAGATGTCTTTTTAAACCAATTTTCAATGGTTGAAAAAAATTCAGGCTTAATTTTACACTTTTGAATTTTGTATAAAGAAGGTGGAAGGTGTTTATTTTTGGAGCACTGTTGTTGTGTTCTGTTTGTCTTGTCTCATAACCTCCGGAGACCATGGCCTGTGTTTCACCTGCCCTGATGGACAGACCATGAACTGACTCAACTGCCAAAACTTATTGGCAGAGTTTCTAGGCTCCTGGTTTTCCACTGAGCTTAGAACAAACCTTTATGATTATCTGCATCTGAACTGGATAACATAAGACAATGAAACTTACTCAGTTACTTAACTTCTGCACCAAATTTAATTTTTGTTCACCTTAACGTATTTTCGGAAAATAAGCTTCAACACTCACATTATTTCATTAAGTAATTCCAGACAATTTTTGTATTCTGTATTACTCAAACGTGAGAGTAAAAAGGCATTTCGATCCAAATTAATGTAATTTTATTATATTCTTGTTTACATAGACTATACAATCTAACCTTGCCTAAATTATACTGAAACACCATAATGTAGGGAGAAATTCATTAGAGAAAGCACAGGACAGCAAATTTGAAATGGAAAGCCCATTCCATTTTCACAGTGTTTAGATTTGCTCATTTTCACTTAAAATGAAGTAAGTAGCCTAAGAGTCAATGACCTCGCTAAACAGTCTGTTAACAGAAGCAAGGTCTAAAACAAAGAGTGCAGAAGGCAGATTGAGAAACAAAGACCACTGCAGGCAAAAACGTCTGCTGGAGAAATAAGCCATTTTAATTTATGTTAAGAGAAGCATAAGGAACAGGTCAGAGACAGCACTGCTGAATACACTCCCAAGTCTGCAGAAACTCATGTTCTCTATCTGACTCCAGTGCCTTGCTTGCTCCATTAATCACAAACAGATTGTAACAGTAATACCATATAAATGTAAGTCTGTTATGGCTGCTCCTTGCCAAGTACGAAGAACAGGCATCAATTCAGTACATGTCATCATCTGTTATACTGTATGCCATAGCACTTGGTATTAGCATTTTGTAGAGAGTTTAGTAACTTCAAACCTTGACAACTCAACTTATCTGAGATGACTATCATTGGGAAAAACTTTGAATAAGGTATCTTCATGAAGAGAATTTACTTCTACACAGTTAGTAAATGTAACAGTCTGAAAAGGGAACAAAACCATTGTTAGGAGACTAACACTCAGCTTCTAGCCTGGAACATAATTGGAATGAAAGGGCGAGGTTGGGGAGAAAAAAAGCTTCCTCACACAATTTTTTTTTAGAAGTCTAAATGTGCTAGAGTTATGCTCTTCATTGACTTAATTCAGTTAGTATATACTGCTTTTACTTCCCATCTATTTCTGATTTTAAAAGGAAAAAGGGGAATACAAAGAAGAGCAGTATTAGTGTCCTAACATTCTACTTACTTAAACATAAAACACACAACCAACAAAACCCCACATGCTAATGAGCTTGTACACGGCTAGCAAAAAAAAAACACAAAACAAGCAACAAAAAGTATTTGACAATAATTTTCCTGTGATATTTCAGGTATATTTTGTATCATCGTGAAGTATAAATAAAAGTGTACAGTAAACTACCAAGTAGTCTGTCAAACATTTCTTGAGAAGTATTCAGTGACTGTTTTGAACATAATGAAGTGCTTAAAATCAAGTAAAATCATCAAGTTCTTCAATTTGTAAGAAAATATTCTTTTAGAAACACATGCAGAAAAAATAAAAAGTCTTCCATTCAGGTAAATTTCAGCCTTTCAGGTATAAATTTGCACTGTCATTTGCAACTGCAAACATCTGAGACAACATAACTTTTTATAGCAACTAAGAAATCTTACCGACTTTGCCAACTGTAACAGTGCAATTGGACTTAAATGCACAGCACAATAAATTGCATGATGAAATCTACATAAAATTTTCCCGCTAAGAATGAACAGACACTGACAGGGTTGTGCTCATTTGTTTGCAATTCATCTGTTTTTTAACAACAATGCTAATTTATGTTGTAAAAGCAATAGTAAGAAGGAAAGACAGTCCTACCTTTACTCCATTTATCTTCTGTAGATTAAAATGGTTCAGTCTAAACAGAACATAGTATTTCCACAAAGTAAAGTTGACAATGGGATTTCCCTGAGGATCAACTGTAAGCTGTTCCATGTGATGCATCTGGGCTAATGCATTGAACTGCTGCAACGCCACGAGATTTGTCTCCTTAAACTTCAGGTGCTTAAAAAAAGTCAAACCACAAGACATTAAAGAAGGAAAAAATAAAGAATTAACACAATGATTCCTATTCTTTGCCACTCAATTTTCAAACTCAGATAAACAGACTTTAGGACTGATTAAGTCTGGTTTAGGTCTCATTAGATCTGCTTAGCAACAGAGGTTACTTCATTTGAGGTCTCTGTGGCAAAACATATCAACTGGTGTATTTAGATATGTCAACATTGCAAGCCCCTAAGCCATTCATAAACCTTTTCATAGAAGTACTAATATTTTCAATGTTACAAAATGCAGCCATACTCCTGGAGCAATGTTTATTTTAATTCTGCAAGCGGAGCAACTGCAACACCCACACACGAACATCAGTACAATACATGCTTTTGGATACCCTGCCTTTTCAGCCAGAGCAGCCTGGAATGAAGTCACAGGCTGCTGCTTCTTCGAAGCGTACCCTATGCCAGTGCTCCTCTCAGCACAGTGTATTTAGCTACAAAATAGTACTATGGAACAAAGAGGAAGGAGGAAAAAAATAATGGTGAAGATAAAAGTTTAGTTGAGATTCTGCTATGCCCTACAATTTTTTCCCTCCACAGTTGCTTCCTTGCAGTAAATACATTCGTCTAAAGTTGCCCACAAATTTATCTATCTCAAGAAACCATCAAGTTCTGTTCTACTCAAAACCTTAATAAGACCCAGGTTGCTCAAGAGGCATACCATCTAATTAACAAGGTGCTTTACGTATATTATCATTATTTTACTGTTTGCTTCAAAATGACTGATGTAAATGTCCAAGAAAAAAAGAAGAAAAGTAGTACTAAAGGGACATCACATTTATGTTGTTGCACTTCATCAAGAACTGAGGAATTCCAAGCGCTGTACTGATTTAGCTAGGCATCCCTTTGAGTTTTACCTCTCCTTTATCATCATATCAGCTGTCAACTCACAACACAAAGGAAGGTCTCCTGATACCATGGATCCAAAACAATATTGTAGAAGAGCAATAGTATATTTACACGAGTTATGCAACTTAAAAGCAATCATCGAGGTCAAAGGAATTAAAAGAAATAGAAGTAAGTCTGAAAACAAAACATCATCCTGTGTGAGAAGCTAAATTAAAGTCTTGATTTTAAAAAAAGTATCAAGTTCAAGTTAGCAATATAGGATAACAGCAAGCAAATATGTAATTCACAAATGTAGCTATTTATATGAAAGCAGACAAGGGTGACTATGTCAAATCCAGTTTCTAGTAGAGAATACATATTCCATAGCTGTTCACACCACTGGAATCTGAGGCATTCTTACCACAGAATTAGGAAATTTTATCTTCAGTTTTGTTAACACTTGAACAATTTCATCAAACTCTATGAACATGAAGGAGACTGTCACAATAAGTCCAGCTGTTTGAACACTCCAGTTTCGATCCAGGCACTCAAGTGCTCCAGCACCATACAAGCAAAGAGTGTCACCTTCCACTTCAACTAAATGGGACTCAAGAACAGATAAGCCTTGTACTGCACTGCTCAATATTGTATCAAGAGACCTGTGGAGGAAATAAAAAGGCTGTCACCCAACTGTCAAAAAGAATTGCCATCGGCATTCACTCATTTGCAGTGCCCAAGCTCGTCCAAAATCATTAAGGGCTGGAAAATCCTCTTTCCATCAAGTTACACTGCAAATGTTCTACTACTTTGGCAGAAAGGGGCCCTGGGTGTATTCGAGTTGGACTGGGGGGATCTTTTTTTTTTTTTAAATAAAGTAAATTAAGACATGGTTCACGTTTAATAATCTACTTGAAAGCTTTAATTCAGAATGCCAACTTAACATATTTTGTGTTGCTTTAGGTATCTGAAGAAAACTTCAAACAAAGTATTTATTCAAGCAGAGTCACCTCCCCATTCTGCTTGCTATATGAATCATAAAAATCATGACCCAAATAACTGCTTTAAGAACAGACCAATTAAAACCAATCCAGGATAATACCCTTCACAATACTGCAGTTATTTCTGTTCTTGAACAACAATATCGCTTCTTCCGCAAACTCTTCTGTCACATTATCTAATCAGGGTATTGGGATTCATTATTCTGCTTAGAGCTAATCATTTTATGGCTTACAATCCTTCTTTGATCCTTAATTAAGAGGGGTGAATAAGCCTTGCTTTAAAACAAAGTGAGCTTTCCAACTCACAAGAGCAATTTTCCAGTTAAGCAATAAATTCAGGTACTCCCAACACTCATCTTTTTTTTTATCTGTCTTCCAACATAGTTCCTAGCTGGACCTGAAGTGCAAAAAGAATTCAAGATGAGCACAAACCACAGGTTTAGCAATGATTGTTACTATTTTAGTCTTTACTACCTTCCCAGAATTTTTAACATATTTTGCTTCATTGACTACTAGTAATCACTTGACTGATGTTTTCTTGATAAAAATCAACCAGAACTCTAAGTCTGGACTGGGAATGTTGAGAGCCCATCACTTGATGTGAAGCTCTAATTACTTATCTGTGCTGAATCCCACATGCCACTTTATTGTGTAGTCACTCATCTTGAAATAGTTCTTTGAAATTCTTTACTATTATAAAATACATGACTAAATTATGTCAATTCTAACAGAGTGTGTTAGCAATAAGGCTTCAAGTCAAAAAACGGCAGTGTTATCTAGCTTCTTAATTCTAACACACATTGCTAGGTCTTCATTAGCCTGTTTAATGTAAATCAGTACTAAAGATCACTATCACACTTTCATTTCTCTAATCAGTCATGAAACAGAAAAATACAAAATCTAAGTCTCCAGGTCAGAAAACTGAGTGCACTGTCATTTACACAAGAGAATTTTAGCATATGCAAATAAAGCACATGGTTTATTTCAGTAACATCTCTGGGGGACTTCAATATAATATTTCATTAAATTAATCTCTTCAGCTTCTACAACATATTTTACAAATCTTCAGCTACAAACACTTTCATAAGATTATGGAAACAGATTTTATGCATTTTACTTTATTACTGTAGGCTTGATATAAAAAGCCTAACACTCATGGTTAGGAAACTAAAAGGAATAAGCCAACTTTAGTTACTGTATCCAGCATAAGCAAAGGTCCCATTTCTCCAAGATCTCTCCTACAACTCCATGGAAAAAGTCCTAACTCATTACTTAAAAGCATGATTTCTCAAGTAATGAGAGCAACGTTCACTGACAGGACAATGCTCAACCTACCACTGTTAAACTGACTTTGTGATGGGGGATGATTACTAACACTGAATTAAATCATGAAGAAACCAAGGCAAGAAAGTACTGGCTAAATATTGGTTTGGGGAAAAGCTTCAGAAACACAAGAACAGAAAGGATCACAGCAATTTAAAAAATGTAAGAAAAAGTATTTCAGAAGATACAGGACTTGGTTAGAGATAAAAAACAGGTCTAGCCGATACTAGACTGAACCTCCAATGGGTTCTGTTCACAAAAGGCAATGAATTCCTGTCTGTACCTGACACGTCCAACGTACATCAGGCACTGCACAAAGCTGTACTTGCTACGGAATTCAAGCAGACTATTTTTTCAGGATTTTGTCCGGTTGAAAGTGTGCTAATCTGGCTTTAGCCAAACCAAGGCACACACTGGTCATTAAGTTCTGCATTTGGGTTTTAAATTATAATATGAGATGTTCACCTTTTAAAAGCAAATAAGCAAGCCACAAAGTGTATCACAAAAATATAACAGTATTTCAAACCCATGATATTAAGTTATTCTTCAGGTAATTTTTCCCAAGAGAGAAACTAAGTCATAGAAGTGCTATTTTTACAATAACACGGGTATAGAAGTCCAAGAAGAGATGCTGCTGTTCAAACTAATAACATCAACTCAACGCTCAGTTTATGACAACTCTTGATATAAAAAGAGGTTACAAATGCTTATAATGCTTCTAAGTCCTCATTTTGTTCAGCTCAATTGAGCTAATCTAAGCTGCCAAGGAAATGAACAGCCTTAAGAAGGTTCAAGAATTAATATTTATTGTTTCTTGCAAACATGAAGTCCTCCCTTATTCAGCAAAATCATATAATAATTTAGCTTGCACTTTTTAGTATTACTTTTTTTTTTAATATTACTTTTTACTAATGGCCAACAGGTTTAATCATGAAGTAAAACATCTTTTCTGGATTCATTTGGATATTTTACTTTTGATAATGTAACAGTGAGATCTCAGAGATGAGAAATAGTAACCTGTAATACAAGACATGAAAAAGAATAAGTATTTCCTAATCCAATACCTGCTTTCTTCAGGGAGTACATATGGAGTGCTGCCATTGATCTGACAGGGCTCGGCATCTTTATCTTGGTTTAAAGATGCCACAAGAACGACTCGATTCTGATGGATCTCCCACTGCCGAGCAATGTGACAAATCGTTAACCGTTTCTTTTCCTGAAAAAAAGATATGGAAGTCATAACAAAGTTATGACAGTGCAGTATCAACACACTTGTGACACGTGCATAAATGAACTTCACTTTGTTTTTTTCTGTGTTTGGTGCATGTATTAGTCAAAGTCAATGATTTTTTTGGGTTTATAACATCATACTTTAAACACCTGTTGCTATAGAAATGTAGCTCTCAAGTCCATACAAAGTAAGACTTTAAAAAGTTTCCCACTGTTAGGAAGTTGTAAAATCCCATGCTATTTTAAGAATCTTTTAATTTCTCTCATATACTTCAAAACATCATCATTGGAGCTGGAATACAAACAAACATTCTGATACTTTAGAACAGAGTGAAGAAAAAAGGCAAATTGAATTTGCCCTGTGTAGTACAAACAGCAGTTCATAGGCAGCCTGTGTATTTGTCACTAATTTTACCCATAAGCAGGGGATGGATGAAGGTTGCACACTCTTTGGACATACTAATGAATATTCTACTTCAATGTTAAAAAATTTTGGATTGAAAGAGCATGTACTTGTTAGTTTCAGGTTGCAATGATGTCAAACTGGGCCTAAAAGGATCTCAGGCAAGATAAATATTTGTTAACTCTTTCCTTATACATAATCTAACCACTTTGAACTATTTCTTAGCAGTGTTAAAAAGCCTGTCTAATACCATAATTTTAAATGTAACTCTGCTAGTTCCTGTCTCCTTCAGAACGTTGTTAGGCTGATTAAGACAATAAAGGAAACAACAATCTTGATTAGGATTTAGGAGGCTGTATCAAAAATGCTGAAGGCTAGAAAGGGTTTATTTGTTTTAAAATTGAGTATTTACATTTCTGCTTTAAGACAGACTCTAATGGGCTGGGCGGGAGGTGGGTGGAATCGACACACCACACAGTTTTATTGTAGTCCCTCCTTTCAAATTGGAAAAATAAAAAAAAGGAGAATTTATGTGATATACCTATGGGAGAAAAAAAGGGATCAGGGAAAATTAATTTTATAATTTGAAATGAACACTTTTGATACATTAAGTTTGTCCTATAGTCACTGCACTCCTAGGTTTAATCCATAAAAGTAGTGTGATTACTACCATCATGTTTTTACATAATTCCTTTTACAGTGGGTGAGTTGTGGACATGGCAGCAAATCAGTTCACTACGAATGTTCCTCACAGTACTCAGTGTTGGAGATGTGAAATGTAAAGCACTACAAACAACGATTTCTTTGAAAAACAGAAAACAGTTGATCAACAAAAAAAAAAAAAAAAAAAAAAAAAAAAAAAAAAAAATCAAGCATTTTATCACCTGTGATTTAATTTGTGGAGCCTTGGTGTTTCCTTAAGAATAAAGAACAATGTAAGTGTTTTGCAGTAAACCACCTACATGCAAATCCTTCATGCTGCAACTATTATACTCAGAGTAAACAACACAATCTGTTTCAATGACAGATAATGCAGAGAGAGATCTACTACACTTCAAACATTGACAACAATGACATCCATAGCTGTCTGTAACTAGCACTGAATGTAGATGGAAACTCCTTCAATTTTCATCTTATGAAAGCTTTTCTACTTTAAAGAGCTCAACACTCTAGTTGATGTTCAATTTGCCCACAGAGCAAATGATGTTATCTGGATAGGGAACACTAAGGACGCAACATCCACAGACTGATGACTGGGCTACATGTCACAGAAGGTAGGGGAAGCTGAAACAGCATTTTCTTCACATCACATCTAGAAAACTCTGCTTGTTCTGGGTAAGGTCTCCTCATAACCTCAACTACTGTACAGCTTTATTGCTCTGTTAGCCCTCGGTTGTGGGCTGCTGTATTGCTACAGAGCTTTCAGAATTCCCAAGAATACATTTTACAGAAATCAAATTTTAGAAGTGTGAATATTCTGGTAGCAATAACTATTTCTTGTTCTAGTAACTATTAAGTTCAGGCTCTGTTAGAAATGAATTAAATTCTCTGTACATATCAGACTTTCACAGAGCAGTGGGATTTAAGCAAGAAATGCATTAGTCTGGAAAAGAGAGATGAAGAAACTTTGCTGTTACAGGAGACAAGTACCAGCAAGGGAAAAAGAAGATATGACATTGCTGAAATGAACTTCTCTGATGCAGGAATACAGGAAAACAGCCATTGTTTGCTATTGAATTTGCTGCGCATAGTTTCATTTACACTGCATATAGTTTAAGCAAGTCTTGAGGAAAGCAACAACAAACATTGAAGAACGAGTCACTAGGTATTTTCTTCAGATTTAACTATGATGAAAATTTTGTAGTTTGCAACTTTTTTCACTGGACATTGTATCTGTGAGCACATTTGTTCCTCAATTCAAACATTTTGAACAGCAAATAAGAAAATCATAACACAGAAGACTTAACCAAGGAAAGATACAGAAAAAAAATCACTGAATTGTGCAAAAGATATTGCTGTTTGGTTCTTATGCCGCTTAACTATTTGAAGATAAGAAAGATAGCTCCATTAAATTACAAAATCGACAATTTAATGTTGAACTCCAAGGAACAATGGCATTATACATTAATTTACTTTTTCTTCTAAGGGAACTTTCCACTAGCAAAAGGTCCTGGAGATTATCTAAGCCATCAAGACAAGGAAATGTTTCATCAGTGCCTAGTGACATGAAATACACATAAAGACTTCCACTAAACATCGACTTTTTTCCCCCAATCCAGAAATATAGTTAGCTTTTCAACAGCACAAAATAAAACTGTGTGAACTTACTTATGTACTCAATTCCCGTTTCTTTTATGTTAAGAAGAACTAGCATCAGAATTTCAAACCTAAGTAGATGAAATACATTGGTATCTTACAGGGAAAGAACTCAAACCCACCTAAAACCCAAACCATGACACTGCTTGAAGAAAACAACTATATCCAAGACATGGTTTGGGGTGTTGGTTTTTTTGTTTGTTTGTTTGTGTTTTTTTAAAGACAACAGAAATACACACGGATATAAATACACAGCAAATTGTAATATATTCTGAAGCACTAGACACAATTACCCTCCCCTTTATATATTTAAGTTCTTGGTGGAGCTATATACTTAAATTTTCTTTTAGTATACTGTTAACATTCTGTTTGTGTCCTTTTACTTTTCCGATCTATGTACATTTGCTACACTTCTTAAAACCTCCTGCAACTACTTCTAGTCATGTAATATGATTTTACCTAGTTAACAATATGGATGCACAAAAATTTGTTTTGTTTGCCAAATTGAAAGACCTTTTGTATAATCAGCACTGGATGACAATGTTTCAGGCACTTTTCCTCAAAAAAAACCCACAAAACCAAATTTAGAGGCAAGTGGCAATATTCACACAACAAATGGAATGCAGATACTCTCAGATCCTTGAACTCTGGTCTCCTAATAGCAACACAGGTCACCTAGTCACCAGCCCCATAAGAGTATTCTGGAGCACACCTCAGTCTCCCCTGTTAGAGCTATTCTATCTCCTGTGTATAAGCTTTGATCAGGCCAGGTGGTCTGGTAGGTCAGCTGTTCTTCTGAAAAAGAAGACAGCTGGCATTTAGCTTCTGCTCTGATGACTGCTTAACTTTTTCCACGAAAGAAGAACAACTTCAACAGGAAAGAATGAAGAAAAAAAAAACTACTTCAGAACACCCTCCATGGCAGCAGTTACAGCACTCACCTGAAATGGGGGAGACCAAGTTCAAGATATTTGAAATCACTGAAAGGTCCTTTACTTTAGTCTGGATTTAAATTTATCTCTGGATTTGTGCAAATGAAGTTTTCCACCCTTTTACATATATTACACTCATGTATTCAACTGGATTTTTTGCTAAAGTGTAACTTGCACAGTTGACCAAAGAGAGTTTCAGTTATGGAATGCACTGTTTAAGCTGTAAAAAAGAAATAATTAAAGAGATAGAGGCATATTTGGATATATAAGAACCAGAGGACCAAGTGATAGGACACAGATCATTTTTGTAAAATGGTTTAGAGTAGGCTCAGAACAGCCATAGAAAGTACCTTAAGCAAGGTCTGTTTATGGCTTTCACGCCTCCTTTCTTCTTCTTTCCTTGCTGCAACAGATGCCATACGTCTTTCTTCTTCCTGGATGAGAAAAACAACCTCATAAAAGAAGGAATTAATCAGGTTCTTAGAAGTATTACTGATACATTATTAATATATTTCCGTCTTGGTATTTAAAAAGCAAATTTTAATTTTAACACTATTTCAGGATTTTTTTCACATTCTCATGTTTCTAAATATTATTTAAAACAACAAAATTGGTAACATAAAACATCAAGAAGAAAAAATATCTACTCAGATGCAAATATTGAAGAAAAAGCTATTTAAATACAGTTTTTGCAGAGGTCTTTGAAAAAGTATAAAAAAAGTATAAAGCATATGGTAAGTATGACAACGAAAAGGACAATTTTAAAATAGAAGTGCATTATATCTGTTTCTTGGTAGTAGCTTTTGCAAATAGTAGGATTTTTTTTCTAAGAAAGACAGTGATTGAGTTGAATTCTGTTATGCTCAAATCAACCTAGGATTGATTTTTTTTATCATTCTTCACTGTTTCCAGGGGCTTACTTTTCTCCATCAGCAACAGAACTGGACAAGAGAAGAGTATTTTCAAAGTTACCTACAGTACATGAACATAACTTTTCATTAATATTATCACGTATTCAAGAAGTTTCAAGAATAAAGCCATTGATTCCTAAATAATCAAAGTCAAGCAAGTCAAGATCCTTAATTTTCCTGCTACAGCAATTTCACATTGCAACACACCCATATTAGGTTGAATGTTCCCCATTTACAGAAGTATAAACATTCTCATAGCACAGTATTTTTAGAACATGTATTTCCCAGTAACAAAAGAAATGTCCACTATCAAGCAAAAAGTTCAGTCCTTCCAACACAAATATTTGGGAAGTATGCTTTAACTTATTTTTATTTACTTCACATGCCATTTGGGTGTTTCTCTTCAAGTATCTTCCCAGAATATATGGAAAGTGTTTTGATTTACCTCAGAATAGAAAGCTCCTGTCCTAACCTTTTCACTTTCACTTTCCAAAAAGTTATGCATTAAAAAAAATTAACCAACAAAAACAAACAGAAAACAACATCAACCATGAAGAGACATCAATATGTCAAAATTTCTATAAAAAGAAAACATGCTATGTTTAGAGCACTGTAAGAACCCTACAGCACATGGGTGAATGTGCAGCACAAGATAAAGAGGAAGCTTGATGCTTAGCATCATTACTACATTACCAAGAAAATAATTTCCAAGGCATAAGAACTTAGGTTCACATAGTAAACTCTCTCTTATCTGTGTACAGGCCCCCTGACATTGACATACCAGGGATTTTGACATCAATCCAAAAGGTGACTGAACAACAAACTTCCAAATCCATCCTCTACCACTTTAACCTAATACACATATTAAACAAGAGGAACATCTTACTGCTGATTAAGGCATGAGGCTTTGGATAAAGTAAGCTTTTCTAAACTAACTGTACACAAGAATTTCCCTGGAACACTAATTGCAAAGCCTAACTTTTTTTTTTGTTCTGAAAACTTCTGGCCTTTTGAGCATGAAATAGCGTTGGCAGCCTCCTCTGCTACCAGGCTTTTCAGTTCTTCCTAAAGAGAGTGTTAATAAAGTACTGGTACCAAAGGATTACAGAATAATCCATGTTATAAGGAACCTGAAGAGGTCACTAGTCAATGTTAAAGTAGCATCAACAGCAAATAAATAAAACTAGAGATGCAGAAGACCTTTAAGATCCCAGTATAACAAAATACCACACAAGGAAATCAAATACCTGGATGGGAGGGTTCAGGATGAGGCTGTGAAAAACCATTAAAAGATATTCCATGCAGCTATATATGACAAACATCAATGTGTAATTAGTAATGCAAAATAGAAATATGCTGTTCCTCAAGACAAGATTCAAAATGTAAAGAACTACAGACATGATTCTGACAGCTGTTTACACAATTACATGCTACAGTTTACTAAATTTGCATTTATTTAAAAAGCCTTAAGTCTTAAAATATAAACACTAGCAAACTACATTAGCAATATCTTTCTATAGGAAGTGGGTTAGAGTTGGTTTATAGTTTTTTTGGGGGGGTTTGTTTAGGGTCGTGGGGTTTTTTTAATACTAAAACCTCTTCATCTGACCTTGCATTTCTGCATTTTAACACTGCTTCCTAAAGAAACAAGCTTTCTACAATTTCTGTGTCTTTATCTTCTTTAATGATTTTTCCACATATCAAACATAATAACTTAGAAGTACGTTTAGAAGTCTCAAATTAAGTTTTTTTTGTTCTAAGTTCAGTTACGTAAAATTGTGTCTAAAATTCAGTTACATAAAATAATGTAGAAAGATGAGAAATGTAAACTCATTTCCCACCAAGGGAGGAAGCAGAAATTAACCAATTTATTTGGCAGAAAATGGCTGGCCAGTCATCAAACTCAGCTCCAAACTAACTGAGGTATTGTTATGTTACATACTGGGGAAGCGAGAATTACAGAACAAAATCACACCCATCTATAGGAAATTTGGTCTCAAATTTTCTTTGAAAACCACTTAACTTGTGTTTTTTTTCAAGGTTCAAGGCAAACATCCACAAAGCTCCCTAATTCAGTGTTCCCTCAGGTTCCACAACTATCCCTTCTTACTCTAATTTCATCTCAAAGCCTTGCTTTGAGCTCAAAGGTGTACTTCATGACACTGTCTTCCACACAGGAGTCTACTGCCCTCATTCAAGTCAGTCCGGAGTACGAAGAACAAAATGAACATGCACAGATTATGACCCAACAAGAGCCTTTTATTAACTGAGTAAGGCATTTTTCTTGATCAAGAATTTATCCTCACTACAGACATTTAGAAAAAAACACCCTATTAATTTAACAAAAGAAATTAGCTCAGCCTAAGAAGAAAATATATCCTAGTTTTACTCATTCACAAAGGCAGAATCATAGAGAAAACAACTGAATAAAATCAAGGGCCAAATCTAGTTTTTATGGAAATCAAATCCATATATATTCCTTGATTTATCTTACACAACACATGCAATCAATCTTGAAAAACATAACTTCCTGAACAACACTCACAAAAGGAAAACCTACCGAGTTGTAGAACACAGCCCCTAGTAACCTTGCCACAGTTGACTTCACTACCATCCAGTCTTCTCTTTTAGCTCCAGCTCCTTTGAATTTCTTTCTACCTCCTTTTACCTTTTTTCCCCTTCATTATTCTGCTGCCTTTATCTATAACTTAGTTTCATCTTTAAAGCAAACCTTGCTGGACATGGAAGAATACTTTCCCAGAACATCAAAGTGCCAGATCATTACAAAAGGACACGGATGTCTGCTTGTATATTGAAATCTCTTCCATTAGTTCTCCATTTCCCATCTGAAAGCTTACAAAATGGCTAAGAAGATATCTTCACAACAAGAAAAAAAAAAGAGAAAAAGAAAAAAAGTGAGGAATATACTTCCTCTAAAGAAGTCTCACTTTCTGCCATGAAATTTTGAGGCTGCATGCTTACCTTCTCAGTGTGAAGCCACAGCAGTGACAGAATACAAGAAGAAAAAGTCCCCTTAAAGCTACTGCCACCCGCATACAGACCTGCCAGGAGGAGCTGTACTCAACTGTACCTGTAGCGCTGGCAGGCTGGCAGCTCCCCCTGCTGCCACCACAGCACAGCCCTAGCTGCAGCCACCACACATTTGGCCAAGCCTATCATTCTCTTGTCAGTCTTTCAAAAGGTAACATCCAGCAAGACTTGAGAAGGACCCTGAAGAGACCACAGTGGGTTACAGATATTCTTCCTCACTACTATTCTTCAAACAAGTTCTTTTTCAACAAAAGATACCACTTTTACATGATAGAAAAAGATTAAGAGTTAGCACACAAGGAATGCAGGATTTCATTTCCATAACACATCTACCTTAAAATTATTCAAATAAATTTACGATAGATTAGAAAGAGCTACAGGGTACTCTATATAAACAACTTTAGGTAATGAAAATACAAACATGGAGAATGGCCTGGAATATAAACTAAGCTTTCAAGGCATACAGAGACTCAACACAGTAAACTTACAACACAATCATCAGGTCACTTATGCCTGCAGAAAGCAGAGTTTTTGTTACTTATAGCACAGAGGCTGATTTTACACAAAAATTAAGTGAGAATGTAACAATGTTTCTAATAGAAATATTGCCATAGAAAATAAAAGACTATTTTTCAAAAATGTATATGTTAAGTGTTATTTGACAGTGAGATATACCTCCATTTTTCACTTATAGTATTAATTTAGTATATTTTTGCTGACCTGACTTAAGAGAAAGGATTATAACCCACAAGTATTGCTCCACAATTTCTTGATATTTCTTATTTTCAAGCAGAAAGAATAAAGGAAAAAAAAAAAAAATAGGGATCCTTCCCTAAAAAACAGAACACTTCATGGTGGTGATGAAAATGATGAATTCTGTTCTGCAAGAAGTAGCAAAACCTACTGCCTGATCAGGAGAGAAATGTCTCAGTAAATAATCAAAATCAAACACACCTGTCTACTTTATCCAAAACATATAAAACACTAATAAAAAGTAGCAAGGTTTTACTGTTCAAAACATGCAACTTGTCTTTCAATATGTGAAGCACAGCACATTTAAAAAAAAAGTATACACATACACATACATATTAAAAGCATATCTATACACACTTAGCAAATTCTGTGGAGAAAGTGTATTCAAAGTGATGTATAGCAAGGGTTCCTGCTTAAATAACTTCTCATTAAGGATTATGTACACTTTTTTCATATTTCCATGCTTTATGTGTCTGCAGACAGTATCTGCTTACTGTTATGAAAGACTGGAGGAAAAAAAAAAGATAGGTCACAGCTAAACTGTGAGTGCCACTGGATAGATCCACTTTTTCAGAAGTTCAAGCTACAACATGCATTCAAAAACTCTCAGTGCCCAGAAAAACTACCCTTACAGTACATAAGCCAAACACCACAAATGACTACATATGCAACCTGACCCTGCTTGGACTGTCAGACAATTCTATTTCACACAAACCTGTTTCATTGAGCTATAAATAAGTCACATCAGTCCATCTGAGAAGTGAGGTAAAGGTCTGACTTTTACAGTTACAGATGGTTAACAGGTGACACCCAGTCATCTCTCCAGCCACTGTAATTCAGCCTTCTCCACACTCTTTAAACTTCTAGATTGTTCTAACACCATTTGAGGAAGTAAAAGATTTCCACTAAGTTATGTTCTAGATACACAAAGTAGATGGATTTTCAGCTAAAAATTATTTTAGTATGGACAATAAGCATTTGCAGTCTTACAGTGAAACTCCTTACAGATGGCTAACCTCCACACACTTACCACCACTGGGTCTGTGCCTCATTGGTTTAAGAGCTTAAACCTTGCCTTCAAAAATGGCTTAGTAATAAGATAGCCTAAGAAAACTCCAGCTTCCTCATGGGTTAGGGTTTAAAAGTTGTCATAATATGATGCAATCCTTTGAATAAAGGCAAATCTGCCCCAAAAGAAACAGGAGAACAACCACAAAGCAAACCCATTTTATTTCAAGTGCAGCGTTTGATTTTTGTGGCAGCTGTGTTTCTGAATTGTTCCCTTAGGTAGAGGCAGTTATCACCAGACTTCTGCTCTGAGCTTCCCTTTTCCCAGAGAATTCCACAGAAAAGGCCTGGCACCAAAGATTATGTCTTCTAGAAAACCAGTATGAATAAAGCTTCAAAGTCTCTAACAAGTGTTTGAAAACACCCTTCATATTTTACCCTTTGAGGTAATTTTCTTGTTCCAGTGATGCTAACAAGTAGTAGAAAAGTTAAAAGCAGAAGGAACAACTGCGTAAAACCAAGTTCTCAAGCAAAAGCTCCTGAACAGGCAAGCTAAGAATTCCTACTCAGAAAGAAGCACTATCTTGGTCTAACCCTTAGTTCTTTACAAGGCAAAGCAACACTTAAGTTCAAAATGGTCTGGATGGTCTTCAGGCTAACAAAGAAATGGTCCTATAAACATAATTAGTTCAGGTACACTAATAGAGTAAAAAAAGTGCATACCCTATATTGCATGTCCCATTCCCCAAGTTACATTGGGCCTTATAACCCATGGCAACAGTATGTAGCATTACTACACAGAGTAGCTGAATTTGGCACTGCCAACTCTAATTTCATTACAAATCTCCTGATACTTATCATTTTTCTTAAAATTCCAGTTTGAGTAGTATGACCATGTAGGTAACAGTTTTTATTGCAGAAAACAGAAGGCCCTCCACATGAAGAAAATGTTAAAAAAAAGTTTTCAAGGCTCAAAAACCAGGAAGCAAATGAAAGAAACACAAAACACATTCTTTTTACAAGCAGATTTATGGGCAGCACAACTAGCGAAGCCTGGTTTTCTATGGCTTTATGTCTTATGGTTGATTCTCTGATGTTTAACAAGGTGTGAACCCCATGGCTGTGCATTTCTAATTAGGCTTTTTAACCCCCGTACAGATCCTAGAATATAAAAAAGGAGTTTGAGCTTTCTACAGTTTTTCCCATCACAGAGTTCTACCAGGAATTTTATCGTCTTGATAAGTATGCGTATGTGTTGGGAAGATATTTTCTTTATGGGGAATCAAGTTTCTGATATAATACTGATAAAATCTTTTTAAAATCAAAGTGATTTGCAAATATTGAATTAAGTCAGTCTAAATTCACAAAACAGGAAGAAACCAACCCATGAATACCTGCAAACAAACAAGTATTTAGCATTTTTGATGCTGGGAGTAAAACTCAGATGCCAAAACACTTGATTCTCCAAATTATTTCTTTTCCACATACATGTTATGGTTTACCTTGTAATTGGCTCTATTTTATACTCATGATGGATTTGCTACAGGGCAACAGGATGGTTGGGAAAACAACAGGTGTCATTTATAATGCTTTGTACAAAGGCTGTGCTGCAAGTGAGCACTTTAAAACAAGGATTGCTATCAGCACCTGAGCAAAAAAAGATAACTATACTCCACATGCAATAGTGTTATCTTGCTGTTGGACACATTCTCTTGTAAGAAGGTCAAGCTTAAACAATTTTTTTAGTAGATACTAAAGAATTAGCATTGCTATTCCGGTATTAAGAGATAAAATAGCTGACTTAATAATAAGGCCCCCAGTGATTGCCCTTCATCCTCTACTTCACCATGTATTTTCACGAAGTCTATAGGAAGCTTAGTTGTCTGCAGGTCCTCCCTTCCTTATCACTCTTATTTGAACATGAACAGCAGTAATCAAAATGAATGAGGAAAGTGGGTGAGGTAAGAAAGGAATACAGAGACACAGAAACAATGTAATCATCAGGTTTCCTTAGAGAAGCTGACTAAAGAAACCAACAAGATTCTTAAATGAAAGAAGACAGCGATTAAACCCATTTTAGGGTAAACAGATGAAATGCTGGGGTTTGAACACCGAGCCCCCAAATTAAGGTTGACATATGGGTGATTCCCACAGCCCTTCATTAGAAGGTGGTGAGTTTGCCTTATAGCTTCCCCCCAGGGTGCGGCCAGCCCTGCAGGGAGAGCCATAAGGGAAATGAGCCCCAGGGGTCCTGCATTGAGTTGACAAAGGTCAGGTGTCTGCTTGGGGCTAAAAGCTGGGACCACTTGCAGGGAGTCAGGAGTGTCTGTCTGTGGAGTGGAGTGCACTCCACAGAGCTTCCTGGTTCAGGGAAGGCCTCCTGACTCTCCCTGGAGCTGGGCCCTGGTCTGTTTAGGCTTTTGCAAACGCAGGTCGATCGGGTGAGAGTCGCCATGTGGGCACCTTTCTCTTATGTGTTCAGCCTGCTGGTCTGGCTGTTTCCTATGCTATCTGTGGGAAACCTCGGGTCTCTGTTTGTACCACCTGTTGTGGGCCAAGTCGTGTCGTTTGTGGGATTGTTGGGGGTGGCATCAATCATGTACCAGCTGACTGATCTGTTTGTACCCCCGGCGGTCATTCATATTGTAACATTTTTGTCCACAATACAGTCTGCATGTTGGTTCATCTTCCTGCTGGTGCTATCATTTTTGTTGGGCCTGGTCATTGGCAAAACAACAGACCATTTCTCTGAAAGAAACACGCTGTTACTTTTCATCTGTACAGCAACCCAGTAAAGACCACGTTGAGGAAGTTATAGCCAAAAGCTTTACAGATTCTCTCATGTTACACAGCAATTGATCACAGTATTTACTAATGAAGAGTAGAAGCATTTCAAAAAAGTTAAAATTTAAAAGCATATCCTTACATGGGTGTACTGAATAAAAGTACAACAGTGAACGAAAGGAAAAAATGTTCAAGTTTTAAATATTATAAGGTCTATACATCATTAAATTCCACACTAAAAGAAAAAAGGTGGCATTTTTAATATAAATATACACAGAAAAAAACCCTACATTTTACTTCTGAACTTAAGGACCTAGTAAGTTTGATTGAAAAAAGAAAGTTCTTACTGTGATTCTCTTCATATCTAGCTGCCGTAGCTGCATCATATGATGGAGAACAGTGTGTTTGTACCATGTCTCCTGAGCTATTGGATTGCCATCAAGGGTGATATCTGACAAAGATGAGGAATCGGCAAGGCACAGAATATCCTCAAAACTGTAACCAAAAAAGAGGTTAAAGTTTTAACATCACAAAGTAGGAATAATTTGAGATGGAAGATTTCTTAAGTATAAAATATTAATGTTTACCTGCACCAAAAAACCACCCATCAATATTGTATACACTAAATCAAACTGTAAAGTATTTTAAAATACCAACAGCTGCTGCTGTTAACGTTCTTAATCTCCTCATATATGAGTAGAAAGAGATGCAGAATCAAGAGAATTTGTTAACTATGGATGTATAGTTTCACCTAAAGAACCCCTAAAATGCGATACATATCAACTCCTATTCCAAAAAATAATACAAGGTATATTTGCCAAAGCCAGCACGAAAACCATGGAAAACACAAGAAAAAAAGCCAACCTCAAATATCACAGAATGATCCTGAGTGTTTGCACTACCATTAAATATAAAAATAAAAGCAGTTACAAGCATTATATTATCTCCAAAATAGATCAAATCTGTCTACAGTTCCAAGTTCAGTCTACAAACACTAACAAATTATCTTTTTAGACAATATTTGATCTGGTTTCCTGACAAAAATAACTGGCCTGTGTAAAATGTATTTATAGATGTACAGCCTGTATCATGGTCCTTTCATTGAAGATGGAATGTGAAAAGAAAGCAGCTGACTCAGATAATAGCAATTTTTAAACAACAGTAAATTATTTAACTTGATTTCAGAAAAAGCTGAATGGTTATAGAAGTAAATGACTTCCAAGAAATTGATTACAGCGTATAAATGTACTGTTGTGCACCCATCCTCATGCACTTTGGCCTTCAAAAGTCAAGTCTCTGTTATGAAGTTAAGTAAATTCAAGTGGGAAGTACAAAATAATTTGACTTGGTGCTTTTCAGAATAAAGTTAAAAAGTTAAACTTTTGAGTATTAAGTTGAAAATGACAAAGGAATCAATGACCACGAAAATATTACCTTTACTAGATGAACAAATAGTGACATTCTGAAATAAGATACTATTTCTTAAGTGGAAAATATGGAACTGTTGTCATTTTATAAATATTCTGACAATCTTACTGATCACATCAATCAGTTACAGTTCTCACTCTTGCTTGGTGGCAGAAAGAGTCTTCCTCCACTAATATTTGGAAGGATACTGAACCTAGGTGTGCGCTGAACTTGGGATCAGAAATTGTATGCAGTACAAATGCTCATATTAAAGACTGTCACAAAAAAAAAAAAAATAGTGGCAATAAACTTTCTCATCAGTATCACTGAACTTTCAAGAAACCATACAACACTCTGCTAAGGACTAACACTCCTGAAGCACAGGGCTTCAGATCTACCAGAATGTCAGGTTACAAAAATCAATTATCCTTGAAAAATTCTAGGTATTAGATGAAACAATTTCTGCAACAACAACAAAAAGAAATATAGATGGAAGTATAAAAATAGTATCATCAAATAGCAATCAGTCTCAACCAGAGGAAGAAAGGCCTAGATACCAACATGGTGTATTTGTGTGTCAGAAGCACAGCAGACCTGACAGAAAACAAGCTAAGTGAAGGTGCTTAGCACACCCAAAGACTGGGTGGTTTGTACACGTGGTTAAGATGTCAAGTTTGATTATCATTTTCTGCTTTTCTTTTGTGATCCAGTTTCCTTTCCACGAGGAGCTTGTGTAACCACATTGTTGGAAGATCAGGTCAACATATTACTTGAAATACGTATAAAAGATAACCTTCCCAAATGACACAGAATTTAGTAAAGCTAACTCATAAACACATCAGAAAAGACAACTGAATTTCCATAGGGCTAGAACAGATTTGCTTGATAAATAAAAATATTCTGGTCTTCAAACTTAAGTTTCAAATAAAGTAAAAGTATTTATTAAAAGCCTTGAACATATTTACTCCAAGCACTTCCCACTAAATATTTTGCCAAACAGTACTACCATTACATATGATTTACACATTTTTAAGAAAACCAGTCTCTTCAGGAAATGTCAGAAGTTGAAAGTTTGCTAGTGTTTTCAAGACATTCCACTTACACATACTGCTATGCTTTGAAATTTTTAGTAGTTCAGCACACCAGAACATTCATTCTGAAGCTAAAACAGATCTGGTTGCTTTATCCTGCTTTTAGCTGCCCTATTAGCGGCTCCATTTTAGAGCAGAACAGTAGTGCAAATCAGGTCTGTTCCCAAATCTTTGTATATACATGTGAAAAACAGAGCTTTAGAAATGCAGTACAGAAAACCTGGTACACTGTACTTGACACACTGACATCCCAGTCCTAAACCAAGCAAGGCTTTAATATAATACACTCCCCAAACAGGCTGCATACTTTACACCCAAGCTTCTGTCTGCTTTCCAGCATGCACACTGTTGCGACAGTGCCAAGTGGGGATCACCTTGTGGGAATTGGAGGCCACAGCTCAATGCTCTCCCTAGCCTCTGTTCCCCACAAAGGAGTCTTTAACCTGATCATGAAATAAAGCAGTTAAGCCTCCCTCAGACCATCTTATTCAGTGGAATCTCTACTTCTTTCCATAAGACCTTCCCCTGCACGAGTTCCACCAAACTACAGCATACACCTCTCCTTCCCTGTCCTTCTTTCTTCCTAGATGAATTTATCTTTGTTGAAATGGTAGCTTCAGCAATGCAGAAACAAGTTGTGAATTTGGGCTAAACTGTTGAAATGCTGGGGTTTGAACACCGAGCCGCCGAATTAAGGTTGACATATGGGTGATTCCCACAGCCCTTCATTAGAAGGTGGTGAGTTTGCCTTATAGCTTCCCCCCAGGGTGCGGCCGGCCCTGCAGGGAGAGCCATAAGGGAAATGAGCCCCAGGGGTCCCACAATGAGTTGACAAAGGTCAGGTGTCCCGCTTGGGGCTAAAAGCTGGGACCACTTGCAGGGAGTCAGGAGTGTCTGTCTGTGGAGTGGAGTGCACTCCACAGAGCTTCCTGGTTCAGGGCAGACCTCCTGACTCTCCCTGGAGCTGGGCCCTGGTCTGTTTAGGCCTTTGCAAACGCAGGCCGATCGGGTGAGAGTTGCCATGTGGGCACCTTTTTCTTACGCATTTAACTTGCTGGTTTGGCTGTTTCCCATGCCAACTATGGGAAACCTCAGTTCACTGTTTATACCGCCCGTTGTGGGCTGAGTCACATCTTTTGTGGGATTGCTGGGCGTGCTGTCGTTTATGTACCAGCTGACTGATCTGTTTGTACCCCCAGCAGTCATTCATATCATAACGTTTGTGTCTACAATACAGTCTGCGTATTGGATTCTCTTCCTGCTGGTTGTGTCATTCCTGTTAGGCCTGGTCATTGGCAAAACAACTGTCCAAAACTGCTTTCTCAAAATCTTCTCAGAATAGATCAGTTTTACACCTTGTGTGAATGCTCAGTCTTGCATGCGACTCTCCCCTCTGCTAGAGGGAATGCAAACACACATTTTCCTCATATGAGAGCACAGGCTCATAGAATCATACAAATGTTTAGGTCAGAAGAGTCCTTTCAGATCATCAAGTCCAACCATTATGCAGCACTGCCAAGGCATCACTAAACCATATCCTTCAGCACCAGATATACTCCACCACCACCCTGGGCAGCCTGGGACAGGGCTTCACAACCCCTGTGGGGAAGAAATTGTTCCTCAGGGCCAACCTAAAACCCCCCCCGGTGCAAATTTGAGGCCGATTCCTCTTGTCCTATCATTTGTTCCTTGGGAGAATAGACCAACCCCCACGCACCTTCAACCCACTCGCAAGGAGGTGTCAAGAGCCAGAAGGTCTCCCCTGAGCCTCCTTTTCTCCAGGCTCAACAACCCAAGGTCCCTTGGCTCCTCCTCACCAATTTTGTGCTCCCCCAGCTTCATTGCCCTTTTCTGGCCACACTTCAGCTCTTCACTCTCCTTGGAGTGAGTGACCCAAAATTGAACCCAGGATTCGAGGGGTAGCCTCACCAGTGCCCAGTCCAGTGGGACAATCACTTTCAATGGTCACTGATACATCTAAGTAGGCTGGAGGATATTCCATGTTTTAACTGAGTTTATTATGTTTCAGAGAGCCCAAGATATCCCCTCTTGCTGCAGGAGAGATCTGGACAAACACTTCAGCACTCAGACACACACAGAGCAACACAGATGCCCTTCTACTCACACCCACTAAGCCAGTGCATTAAAAGGAAGAGCAGAAGCTAAGAGAAGTCTGTTGCTATAGCTGACCTCAGTGTTTTGTGACAAGCTAGGAGAGGGACACTTTCATCTCCTTCAAGTGTTTCAGCTCTTCAAAGCAGAGCATAGTGCCCTTTTCAATGAAGAGCCACCTGACTGCAACTCACCAAGGCTCTCAGTGCTCTGCTTAGAAACCACCATGTCCTCACAGCTGTGTGAAATGCAAAAGCACATTCCTCTGTAAATCGATTTTTGTTTTTCCTCTTCTTTTCCAAGCAATGGGCTCAGCAATTTATAAAAAACCCCAATTCTTCCTTACATGGAAAAAAACCCCAAGTACCTCACCTTTGGAAAAAAGTGCATGTTTCTCTAACATCAGGACTGTCATAAAACAGTTCTACCATGTAATGTGGCTCACTGGAAAAAAACAGAGCAGCTCAATCAGTAAAACAACTTCTATCAGTTAAAATCTTTCTTCCAGCAAAGAAAGCCGAAATGTGGTCCCACAAACTTGTATGATCACACAGATAAGTACCACAGATGTGATTTCAACCCTTGCCTTCAGCTGCCCTGTCCCTGCCTTCCTTGTTACGCTGTACTTCAGCACGGCGATCACTAAGCAGTAGAGTATGCTGGAGTGGGGTAAGCTCAACCCCCACCAACAAAACGCATTCACTTCTGCGCTTCATACGCAAGAACAGGACACAAGAGCACCTCTTCTCTCTCACAGCCTACCCGCTTAGAAAGACAGTTGTTCCTTCGCTGTACATTTGCATCAATGATTTTTTAAAAGCATGTTCCTTCATGAGGGAAAGCTCTGGAGAAGGAAGGCAACATACTCACTAAGTCTGACAGAACTCTATGTTCAAAAAATACTCAAAGAAGAAAACACGTTTAGCCGCTAGACTACAGATGAAAACAGATGTTACCACAGTCAACCTTTCATTCTCCTTATTCTGCTTTTGTCCAAGTATTTAACAAGGTATTTATACATTTTCATTCTGCTACAGAAAAAAAACCAAAACATTTTCTTGGTTTTATTAGGCTAAGAACAATTTTTCTCTCAGGTTTCCAATTCAGCAATCAAATGAAGAATGACAACTAAATGTCTTTTCAGTCTGCATATAACTTTTTCCCATATCACTAGAAAAAAAATCATAGAATGTCTTAGGCTGCAAGGCACCTCTAGAGGCCATCTGGTCCAACCTCCCTACACAAGCAGGAACATCTCTACCTAGGTCAGGTCTCTCAGAACCCCATCAAGCCTGAACTAATATGCCTTACCAAATGAAAAAGCCAACATCAGGCTGACCTGGACAGCAGTGCCAAGATTAAAAAATGGTCTTCCCTGGTTTAAATTTTTTATATATGAGCAATAATCCTCTTTCTGAATTTCAGTGGCATATCTTCCCTGAAGAAAAGTTTCAGTAATCTTTTCCTAGTACCACAAGACAAATTCAAAATGGGATCTCCCTTCAATTTTTCATAACTAGTTCTAGAGATATATACTACCTTAAGCCATTAATGCTGTATGCCTTCTGTTTCTAACTGTTAAATTTTTGGGGGCTGAGGCCCCACATAGGACTTCTGTTCCAGATCAGCATCAACTTCTACAGCATTTGATTTCAGCTTATATTATCTTGCCAATACATTCTTCCTTACTAAAAGCTCTGCAGAAAAGCAGCAACATTCCAAGGCTTCCTCTGAAGCATGAGGGAAAAAGAATGCCAATGACTGAACCCATGAAAGATTCTCATGCCTTAAATAGTGACAAAAAGGCATTGCCAAAACTTTTACTCAAGTATTAACTCATATGTTAGTTTGTATCAATTTAAGAGCCGAGGATCTTTGCCTATATAGAAAATTAGGAAGCATCAAAGCTTTTGATGGGAGCACTGCCTCAAAAATGCCTTTTCTTTAAATGATAACTAATAAAATACCTTAACGAACCTGTAACATAAATCCAGGTTTTGGCAATATACTTTGTTGTTTGTTTCAATTTGCACGTTTTCTCTATGCACCTACAGAAAAAATAAATAACTGTGTATCAATTTGATAGTCTAAAAGAAAAGTCCATTGTATAAGACACAGCTGTTGCTAGGATGAAAATTTTAATTACCATATGGCACACTGTAAAGCTAGCCAAGTGACTCAAACCCACCAAAAAATACCCCAACACATTTAGAAGAGTTGTAGGAACCTTCAGCATTTCACTGTTGTTATGGCTGCATATAACTTCTCCAGTCAATTCAAACAGTATCAAGCCATCAGAACACAGATGGTCAAGAGCATACTTTAATAATTTTCCTGCTAGAAGATCTATCTGCTACATAACTCCAAATCAGAAATTAATTGGGGTTTTAGCTTTCAAAACTGCTATATGCAACAAAAGGTTATTTCAGAAACCCAATCTAAATATGACCAAAATTAATTTTTCATTTGTTTGATTTAAAATAATATCTGGTAAATAAGGAGTTAAAACTAATCCATACACCTACCTACCCACATATGTATGCAAAACTTTTAGTAGAGCAACATCCTTTATTTGACATTAAGAATTTTTATACCTATTCCACCTACAAATTAAAACTAAATTATAGATGTCCTAAGTATTTCTAGTTTGCATGAAAAAAAGACTAGATCTATTAATAGTTCAGCAGAAGTCCCAATTAATATATTACAATAATCCAAGAAAACCAAAACCAAAAATACCAAGTACCACCAAGAGGGAAGCTACTGATCACATGAAGTTGGAGAAACCTACTTTACAAACCCCACAGAAAAAATGGAGACATGTTTCCTTCTTCAAACACTGTAAAAATATGAAATAAAACAATATGAGAAAGGAGACAGAAAGCTACACAATAACATACCAAGTACATAAAAAGACACAGAAATTCACTGACTGCAGTGATGCTCCCGGATGGCAAGGGAGCCAGCTACTGCAGTGCTCTCATTGTTCCTGCCAAGCTAAGACATTTTTTAGAAAAACAGAAACAAGGCATGTTTCAGTTCTGGAAATTATTCAAGAGAGATAAAATACTAAGCCACTCTCTAGCAGATGAATTAAGAGAAAGGCACATTAAAGATCCCTGCGCTTCATTTCTGATTTTTAAATGCCTAATACCCGTGAGTATTTAAGGAGATCTACTGCACTGGGACTTTAAGAACCTGAGGAACACAGACAACTAGGTTGGGGCTGTCTGCAAAAAACCTAATGCAGGTCAAATTAAAATGGTATAAGCTTTTATTGTAATAGCTACTTGAACAAGTATAACATTTTACAGAGAAAGCAGATTATGTTAAGAACAGCAGCATGCTTCCAGAAAGTAGAACATGAAGAATCTTTTCCATATCTAATGTGAAATTATTTGATTCTATGCAAAAAAAGCTAGTGGTGATTAAGACATTCCAAACCAAAGATAGTGCAGAGAATTTTTAAAAAAAGAAATTAAAAAAAAATTAAAAAAGAAATTAAAAAAACTAGTGTAAATGCAGACTCAAAAAAATGCACAAGTGTAAAAGTGCATACAAGATAAACATTTGCATGTATTTGTAACAAAACACACTTCGTTACTTGGAACTATAGAAGCCCTGCTTTGAAATTCAAATTATTCTGCCTTTGGCTTCTGGTTTGAAGAAGAAATAACTTTCAGATTTTATTAATATATGGACAAAAAACCCATGAAATAATCTAAACATCGTAAGCAGAATCTGACTCAGCAGTTTGTCTAACTCCATGAATACAGTGATCTTAAATATAGTATGTACGTACCTTGTGTCACATTGCTTTAACAGATATTTAGTTTAACACTAAAACAAAATATTTATAAAACTGGTTTTAACTTTGATCATCATTGTAAATAGTATAATAGATGTACATCAAAAACATAAGTTTCTTGGTGGAATACTCATAGCACAAACTACATTTAAATGCAAATGCAATTGAGAATTTTTATGTTTGAAGTAGAAAATAGCATAGTCAAGCTATTGTGTATCTGATACTTTTTTCCCCTCTAACATATCTGCATTCACAGAATCACAGAATGTTAGGGGTTGGAAGGGACCTCATACTTCAAATTACTGATAAGAAGCAAACTGTATTTCCCTTACCTAGATATATTGTTGAAGCTGAGGAAGAGACGCTTGAGACGGGGCAAAGTATCCACATCTTTCTAGAAGGAAAGATAGAGGCATAAATTCAGTAGCTCAAAGTAGCTTTTGAACTCCTCTACTTTGCCTGATGAAACACTGTCATTTCTGTATGCTATAACCTTGCTGCAACATTGATTTCTGTCGAACATGCAGTTTCCATTTCTCCCTGGTGCAGACTGCAAGGGAGTGTTTCAGTGCAGATATCCACTCTGCAGAACAAGCTGCATCACTTGCAAAGCAAATGATGTTAAAGAAAAGAGGATGAGGCTGCTGCTGATTTCTGAACAGGATTTTGGGCAATAAGCCAAGGTGCTGTCTCAGCATTTAAGCTGCAGGATACGCACACTGTAAAAAAAGTTTATTTTGTGACCATGTTGAAACAAGGTTTTTGAAGCGCAATAAAGCACTGCAGTTAGCGCTACCAAAAAGCAGTGGCTCTTCTGCCAGAGAATGATCTGAAGGACTCTACCACATTTACAATTAAAATTTATAAGAAGGAATGTGTTTCCATAATGAGCAATTTTAAGTTCAAGGTATGCTACTAAAGACTTTTGCATAAAGCCTAGAAATAGAAAATAGCTCAAATATTGGTAAGATGAAACATATCAAGTAAGATCAAACCTCATTTATGAAATGTAAATTCATAAGGTTCATACAGCAAAGTCTACAGTGATTCATATACCATTCAGACTGCACACCTAACCCAACAGTTTTAAGTCTGCATCTCCTTATCCTACCTAGGAGCATAATCCAATTTGCAACCAGGGGACACAAACCTGTTACTTAGAGCATGGGCAAGTGCCACAGGGCTCGCTACCTTGATTTTTTTTTTTCAGCTAAAAAAAAACCAAAAAAACAAACAAAAAAACACAATCAAATCTACAGGCCCTTCCTCCCCCCATCTGATTTGTGACATTTCTACATCACACTCCAGAAACAAAAGTAGTTCATTCCACCCAAGAAGATGAAGACAAGGCAGCTCTAATCAAACCATATAGCTGCTCCTGAAGCACTGAATGTGAGCTAACAAGCACTGCTGAGACTCATAGCTCTGTATGCAACAAACAGGACTTCTTAGCCCAGGTCCACAGTTGCAGAACTCCTCATTCAGAGCTCTTCTGAATTGTCCCACAACAGACCATAGAAAACTTGAGTTCACAACAGAAATGCATCTCGACACCCCTTGTGTCCCAAGGCTACTCAGTGTTGATGCTTAAGGTGGTGGGTGCACATGATACAGGCAGATACACACATGAAGACAGGCATCACAAGATTGTACACAGTAATTCTTACACAGCAACTATTTAAAATCAAATAATTTTGCATTGGAGAACACAAAGTATTTTCCCCTGACGACAGATTTCCATAAATAGCATGATATGTTGCTGTCCTGTCAAATATATTGCAAGTCTCACAGGCATGACAGCAAACACCTTACGTAGGATTAAGAAGAAAAAAGAAGCCTCCAGGTACTTCAGTTTTGATACAAAGTCATATAGGGCAGAGGACATACAGGGCAGGAGTTCTGTTAAAAGATGGTGAACACCTTGACAAGTGCTCCTTCAAGTCTACAATCAAGCTGCAGATGACAAACCCAAAAATTCTAAGCTTTTAATACCTCACATAAATCAAGCAGGTCCATCTTTCAAACAAAAACGTACTCCACCTTCATAACAGTGAACCTACTCTACAACTGGATGGAAAGTAAACACATTCCATAATTCATTACATGTATAAATCTGTGCTTTTAAATGTCATATGCAACACTTGCTAATCATTTATGCTGTCTGTTAGGTATTCTTCAGAACACTCAGGACTTCTTGAAGATACTTCCAATCTTGTAAAGATATAATTCTGCTGTAAACCAAGCCTCAGGACTGCCTTTCTGAATTCTACCGCTTTGGACAAATTAGTGTGTTCTCACAAAAATACTTGAGATTCAAGGATTTACAGTCTCTAATGAATACTTCAAAGACAAAAAATGTTTGCAAAACTGCTAAATGTAAGGCCAGTGGACTGTAAGAGATCATTATATGTTTAAATGCACAAGCAAACTATGATCTAGTTGGACAGCTTGAATTCTAAATAGTTAATATAACGGATATGGAATGCAGTACGGAAACTCATTTTGTTTGACAAATGAGAATATAATCTTTCCTACACAGGAATAATGCAATTGCAACAGGTGTGGGGAATAGGAAGTGAAAAAAATGAAGGTTCATGAAAAAAGGCAAAAAGTTATTTATTTTGGGACAGTAAATTTTTTTAAATTGAGGTTAATTTCTTGCAATCAAAAGAATAATAAGTTTTAAAAAGCTTGATTCATAATGTTGTTGTCATAGCAACTAAGCAACCAAAACAGTGCAAAAACTGAAACTAAATTCTTTTAATGAACTTTAAAGTGAACATTTTGCAGTTAATGCTACATAATAACCATATCATGATGAAAATGACACACACCCAAACAGTAAGAAAATCTAAACTTCATCTTAAAGGAAAGAAATGTAAACCCTCTCCCTTAGCTACTGAAGTACTGCAGTAACACGGAAAATAACCTGTATATTCTTTCCATAACATTATATTTCCTTCTCTATTCCTGGATTTTCAGTAATTTCATATAGTAGCAGATTCTGAATTTCAATACAAAAGCCATGCAGCATTCACTAGACAAAAAATAAGCTTAAATTTAAGCAAAGAAATACACATACATTGTTGTGCACAGAGAAAGAGACAGCACATGTTATTTAAATAAGCAAAAGAATTTAGTTCAGGAAAGAGACATGCATTTATTTTATGTTTCAGATAATATATGCCAAAGACTTGATTTCCTATGAGGCAAGAGTCCTTCTCTAGAGGAAGAAGAGTCACTGTCATATTTGCTAAAATCATCACCCAATTAGAAATAAAACACCACACACACCCCAAACACCATTTCATTAGAATTTAACCAGGGTTAAAAACAAAACAAACAAAAAAGCACATGACTATAAACCAACCAACAATAGAGACAAAATTGAGTACTTCCCTGAACAGAACATCACCTCCTGAAATACTACCTCTGCCCAGTAAAGACTACAACATGGAGACCAGCACAGAATCCAAGCCTGTAACTCACTAATTCAAATTTCATGCTGACTCTCCCTTTGTGACAACAGGAAGCAAGGAGAAAGTACAAACTACACCTCAGACAAGTGAAAAGGCAGCAGCTACAGGCAAGGGAGAGAGAATTCTAGGTTAAATACTTGATGCTGGGGGAAGGTACAGTAACTGAATCAACAATGAGCATTAACTTCTAATTTTTGAAGCCCAACAACTCCTCATATGACAAGATGCAGAAATCGGAGAACAGATAAGGAAGGCAGCAATAGGAGACCAACAACTAAAGGAATTATGAGGGCCAGAAAAATACAGCTACTTAAGTAGACTCATTTTAAAAAGCACTTGTTCAAATAACATACTTGCTATACCTGCACTTCAACTCAGAAATTGAAAAGTGAAAAGCTTTATTTTTAACAACATAAAGACCTGTAATGCTAGGTTAAAGCTTAACTTAGGAAATTCTGCTTTTAAGATCAATTCCCATTTTCTCTGCCTTTGCCCTAGAGAAATTCATAAGGAAATGAAATTTAAGACTACTACCTTAGCTGAACTACCATGTAGGTTAGTTGAGCCACAAAAATTGGGGCAGTTTGTTTCCAGGAAACAAGATCTAGGTACTTTTCTTCCAGACATGTTTGTGTTAGTACCACAGTCTTCAGAATCTTCTGCTTATCACACTGCAGGCCCCAGAGAACCATCATGAGCTATCCAAATTTGAATTGCTACAAGTGATCCCATTTAAACAAAGTAACACCAAGACCCAATTGCTATTTGTTTCACCTTTATACTGTAGAAGTAAATACTGCAACAGAACAATGTAAGCAACGCCATACAGGAAAACACAACATTTCACAAATCTGAAGCATTGTTATGGTTTAAATAATCTACAGTAATAATGCATTTATTAAAAACAAAGAAAAACACAGGAGAAAAAAAGACAAGAGTTTTGTCCTTACTATAGCAGAGACTTGATTATGACGAAGGTTGAGCTCTGTGAGTGAATCCAGTCCATTAAGGTTTTCTACAGTAGTTAGTAGGTTTCTGGCAAGGTTTAACACACTCAGTTCACTCAAATGACTGAGGTTTTCTATTTTAGTAATCTGTAAAAGAGGTATAGTTATTAGCATTCATAGAGTGCTTTATATAGTTGTTCAATACGATAAATGTAGGGCATACTTTCTTTAAAAAGTATACACAAACACTTAATACAATAGTGTGCTGCTTGTGCATTTTTCTGCACCGTGGTGTCAGGAATTGCTGCAAACAAGCTACAGTTTTCCTAGGTATTACATCGTAGTACTCCCTTCACTAGTATCTTTCTAGTCATACCGCAGCAAAATCAGTCACCACTTCCTTTCTGCCATGAGGAATCAGGTTACTTGAGCTGTGTTGCTCCGCAGCAGCAACCTCACAGACACCATAAAACTAAGCCAACACTGATGACACTGTATGCCAAAACAGAGAAATTTTTTGCACAGTTGATCCTTAATTTGTCTGCAAAGGCACTGAAACACAATCCAAATCTTGGGGTACCTATGGTACAAGAATAGGCGGCATCATTACCTCCCTACCATCACAGAACTCTGCACGGATTTCCTCTCACGCCTCTTAAAAAGGCAGTAGCAGCATTCACAGCTCTGCCTACAGGAGGTCCACAGACAGACTACCCAGCAGGTCACAAGGACAGGAATCTGCTGTGAATCAGGGGCAAGGATCTGCCACACCCCTCTGGAGAAGAAAGGAATTATTCTGAAATTGAAACTCGTACAATAGTTCTACAAGTAGACAATTGCTACCATTGGAAAGACACATTCAAAAGCCAGGAGAGAAAGCAGCAGCATCCCTAGTTTGGATACAGATCACGTTTGCTTGTCAGTCCCCAGGACAACTCTTCAGCAACTCACGGCTTCCTGCGATTAGAAAAACCGAGGGATCAAAGTGACTAAACTACAATACACAAGCAGCTGCCTGAGGTTGGTTTTTACACTTGACACCCTATTTTAAAGGTTCAGGTCATACAGTAGGTGGGAAAAAAAAAAAAAAAAAAAAAAATCAAGAGGAGAAATACCTACTGCCCCTTTGTTTTAATTTTCGGTTCTAGAAGCGCAACTATGTTTTACAAAGGCAAAAATGATCTCTCCGTTGACACAACCTAGGTTTGTTTACCGCTCCTCATATTTCTCAGTGATTC